TCATTAAATGTTAAAAGAAGGAAAAATATTATCTCTACAAATGTAATTCATGACATTAAGAAACACATACCGTACGTATAACAATACCATGACAATCAGTACGAAAATAATCATTTTCCTTCTGCAACTCAAGTGTGTCTACACATGGAAATATATTATCATTCTGAGGAACTACAGTACTAAATTCTTCATCTACATCTTCATATGTATCTCTGTAATTTTTGGGAGGTGTATTGAACACAATAGACATTTTTTGATCGAGCGGGTATGTGACATAAAATACTTGTTGTGCTTGTGAGGCCAATATGAAGGGATCACCTTTATGGCCTAATCTTTTTAGTTCAACTAGTGTGTACCCCAATTTATCCCTTTTTACCCCATTTCTATTGTCAACCCAGTCACACATGAAAATTGGAATTCGTTTAAAATGATAATCTAGTACCCATATCTCTTGTAAAACACCATAATAAGTGTTTTTGGCATATGTTACAACTTCTTTACTGATGTGTGTGCCAGTTGCAACGACACTAACCCCACTGTTTTGGTAAACTTTACCTTCACGAGCTTTTGTACGAAAAGTATATCCATTGATAGCATATACATCGTATTTAATAATGTTCTTATTGGGTCCATGTGAAATCCATCTCATTGTCTCTGTTATACTTTCTCTACAGCCCCCTAACTCTGTCTACCTGAATTGTAATTAGATAATGAATTTAAGATATAAAGAAATACATAACAAAGAACACAACATATATGAAATGAATATACCTCCTTTCATAACCAATGACCAAATGTATTACTGTGCTCTTGTTCTAGCTATGCCTTTCGCTTAGCAGGGTGTTGATGTTGCAAAAAATCCATGTGTCGTCTGTCAATACGTTAATGTTAATATTATAACAAAAAAACATACATGTAAAAAAACTTACTTGATATACGGGAGTACTTCAGATGTATTTTGCAATACAAAGAAATGTGCTTTGCTGAATAGTTCTGCCGAAACTTCTACCGATTTAGCAGCTGATAGAGGAGTATCGTCCGTAATAGAACTACTATCTACACCTATCTGAATTCCACATGTGTTATGATTGTCAGGTGGAATACCAACAGTATCCATCTTTTTGAGGAATTCACTAAAAAAACTCAATCGTCTCTTCTGCAACATTCTCTTCTGCAATGCATCCTTCTGGTCTATTTTTGTTTCGTACGTGCCCCTTAATAACCTTCATAAACCTTTCGAACGGGTACATCCATCTAAATAATATTGGACCGCATAATTTTACTTCCCTAGTTAGATGAACGGTTAAATGAATCATCACATCAAAAAATGATGGTGGAAAGTGTTTCTCAAGAAGGCATAAGGTTACACATAACTCCTCTTGCAACTTATCGAGCTCATCTAGTTTGATTTCTTTGCTACATATTGATTTGAAAAAGAAACAAAACCTTGTAATAGCAACTCTGGTGGGTGGATGCATAATAGATCGAATTGCTATGGGCAAAAATTGTTGCATGAGCATGTGATAGTCATGTGATTTTAGTCCAATCAACTTCCTATCCTTCAGACTCACCAAACTAGAAAAATTAGAACAATACCCTTAAGGAACCCTTAAGTTGTATAAAGTCTCATAGAATTTGTCTTTTTCCTCTTTTGTCAATGTACAACCTGCTGCGGGAAGTGTTGTGTTGTTCCCTTCTATCTTAGGATGCAGCTCTGGTTTTAAACCATAATGAACCAAATCCAATCGAGCTTTATAACCATCTTTCGTCTTCCCGGGAACGTTCAACACAGTTCCGGTTAAACTCTCGCCCACGTTCTTTTCGACATTCATAAAATCTATACAATGTGGAATTAAATTGTCGCGCCAATACCTTAGCTGTCTATACCATATATTGAATTTCTTCCAGTATGTATTATTTTGCTGGCCCACATCTGAAGTACCCACTTGGCGTGATTTTCTCTTTTTTTATTAATCTTCCCACCTCTTCCAATTGTAGATTGTTGTATTTCTGCCTCCTTGCCCTTAGACACCTTTCCCTATTTATTAATTATAAATTTGACTGTGTTATATACTTCCTCCCCATTCATAGGTTCTGGAGAGGGTGAGAACTCTTGTTGTCCATTGAATGCCTTTTTTTTGTCTTCTGAACGAGTGATCATACGGTAGAAATCGTCTATGACCAGCATAACTCTGCTTATTCGATTCAGGGAGTCTAATGCAGTCTGTTTCTTCGCCACACACAACACAACCTTGAAATCCGTTGTATGGACAACCACGTAATGTACCTAGAGCAAGATAATAATTAATAGTCCATAACACTACTGCACGTAGTTTAAACTGCTCTTGTGCATATGCATCATATGTTTCAACTCCAATATCAAATAATAATTGCAGATCAACAATAAAAGGTGTTAGGAACACATCAATATCGTTTCCTGGTGTTCCCGAAATCAATAACGAAAGCATGATGAACTTTCTCTTCATACACAACCATGGTGGAAGGTTGTAAATGACAGTTAAAATAGGCCACACACTATGACTCCTATTTCCTCTATTCACATCGACCCCGTCAGCCGAAATGCCTAGCCGCAAATTTCTTGGCTCGCTAGCAAAGTCAGGATATTTGTCATCAATGGCAGCCCATGCTGGTGAATCAGCTGGATGACTTAAAACACCAATATCCACCTTTCTGTCTGTTGCGTGCCATGTTAAATCTTTTGCAGTAGTCTTAGACTGAAAAAGTCGTTTCGAGCGCGGAATAATTGGAAAGTACCACAAAACTTTTGCAGGAATATTCTTGTAAATTTTATTTTTTTGTTCATTGACCTTCCATCTTGATTTACCACAAGTAGGACATGTTGCCATGTATGTGTATTCGTTTCTATAAAGTATACAGTTGTTGACACATGAATGTATCTTAGTATACCCTGAACCCATTGCCTTGAATGCTTTTTTGGCCTCGTATGTACTACTAAACATTTCGTTACATTCTGGTAACATATTTTTGATCAAAACCAATAATTCTGTAAAGCACTTATCTGATACTCCATACTTACTCTTTAAGTTGAGTAGTTGTATGACTGCAGATAATTTTGTGAAATTAGGACACCCTTTATATAGGGGCTTCTCGGCATCTTTAATCACTTCTCTAAACTTCTCAGGGTTCCCAATAAAATTTTCTTCTACAGCTTCCACCATCTCTACTGTTTCTGCAACATCTGCTGGCATTTCTGTGTTCATGTTCGTGGAATCAACAACGTATGACGTGTCCATGTCAAAATTATGTTCATATATATAATTTCTAGGTGGTTCCTCTGTTTCTTCATGCTTATTCCAATTCGTGTATGTTTGATCAATTCCATTCCTGAATAGGTGATCATCTACCACACCCACCGAATGAGATATGTGGTTTACACACTTGACACATGGACATGGAATTCTTGTCTTTTTTTGGTATCTACAGGATCCATATTTTTAGAAATCTTGTAATTGTGTACTGCATATTTCAAAAATTCTGCAACACCCTTTACATACGTTTCTGATGTTCTGTAGGCTCCCATCCAAGACTTATCCATATTCAGTTTATAACAGCATCAACAAGCAATATATGTTTCCTGTTCATTGAAGCATTTTAATAAACAGTTGGTATGCATAAACGAAAAAGATCACATTACAATTAAATCCAATAACTGGAAACCAAGTACTTGTTAATTCAAGAATATATAATGATACATGACCAAACGAAATAGCAAAGATTCATATTATGAAGGTAATTGTTTTTATGTCACTGTATAAATTAATGTAGTATGTGTACCTGTATGAATTTCATGTTGAAGTATCAATTCCTAGTTGAAGTATAAACGTAGTTGCAATGCGTTTGTAGTAAGTAGAGAATGATTCGATGGGAATGCATATTGTCTAAAAATTCATATCTATGCAATAGGTGTGGATGATGAAGGATATATCGAGAAAAAACTAAAAAAAGAGAAAAAAAAATTGTTCCTAATGGGGTTCGAACCCATGACATTCCAAAATATACCTCTAACTACATTTACACTTACCAACTGGGGTGACTGGCTGTCTGTAAGTTATTAGTTTACGAAAAAAAACAAAACAATAAAATAAAAGAGAAACATTTGACGAAAATACCCCTGCTTCCTCTAGAACTCATCTATAACAAACACAGTTAGCATCAATCGTACTTTCCTCATTTGATACAATATACGTAATTGTGGTTTCACATTGTGTTTAATTAGCCTTCACAATTGGAAATAAAAACAAATGACAAAAATACCCCTGCTTCCTCTAGAACTGATCTATGACAAACACAGTTAGCATCAATCATACTTTCTTTATTTGATACAATATACGTAATTTTGGTTGCACATTGTTTTTAATTAGCCTTCACAATTGGAAATAAAACCAAATGACAAAAATACCCCTGATTCTTCTCACACTCTTATTGTTTAATTGTAGTTATGCACATCATATATGTATCCAAGATTAACTTATTTTTTTTCTATCAATACTATGATGATGCATACCCTTAGATGATGTTTCATTTTTCTTTTCATTATATATACTGAATGACCATTATACCCTTATATCTCAAACACGGTTTCAACGGGAAATAACATTTTCTTTGTTTTATGATAATAACAAATAATTAACGGATATACCCCTGCTTTAGCATAATCTCTGTATGTTGATAACAAACATGGGACAAACTAACTAATCTAACCAATAACTTACCTCTAAAGTGCAAATAAGTTGAAAAGTACATTGCTTTTTTTACAAAACAATACAGCAAAACAGGGACAATACTGACTCAGTTATAAGTATGAAACACAATATAAATAACAATATAAAATTATAATTATAATTACTTCCCATTTTGCCCCTAAGAAAGTTATAATCAAAACAACATCATATTGCTTACAAAAAAGAATTTCATATGTACTCTGTATTAAACACAAAATGGAGTACAACATAGGTCGTCTACACTATGTTTTTCCATGCTATCACATTCTCCTTCGCCATGTCCATTGCATCTTCCATTTTTTCTCTTGGAATGGTCATGTTTAGCATATGCCTGATGTATGCTATTCCATCATCAACCGTTGCCATTGGGTGTTCTGTTACAAACAGATGAATAAGCTTCTCAACTCTTTTGGATGGTGATTTCATCAAAAAGTGGGGGAAATTGATTGGAACAAATACATGCCTATGTTCAACATACAGATGCTCAATCTCTCGAAATTGGTGTGCCCTAACGATCATCTTGAAAGTTCCCAAACAATCATCATTCAGAATTGGAATCATTGACAACCCACAGTTTTCTTCGGTTGGCATATGATACCAGTTACCCATAGTTGTATACCCCAACCTTTTCGAAAAATGACCAAGCATCTCCATGTTGAGCAAATCGATGTTGACACATGAAATAAAGTTAAATTTTGTCTTTTGATACGACTTACCTGGATAGTCTGTAAAAAACCCGCCATGTACAACTCTAATGGTGAATCTCTTATCGTTTGCTTTCCATTGATCGTCGGAGTTGTTTTCACAGAGGAGGAGCAAATAATCGAAGCTATCGTATGTTGGTAATGAAGATGTAAGAATGACGATTTTGATCTAAGGGGAGGCTTTAAATGGATCATCATTCGGAGCTGAAGGGACATCGACGCAGGCCATCACTTCCGATTAATAGCAGGCTACAGGGGAGGTGCAATTTGAACGATGGCTGTGATAATGATTATCGATATTGTGTTATACATTAATATATTATTTACATTAATATATATAATATTAATTAAGTGTAACATCCATACTTTCTTTGTTTTTATTATTACCATACAAAATATAAATTTATATATAAATTAATTATAAATATATAAAATCATTTTTTTAATTAATATGGATATGGGTTGCAGGTGGTCGGGTGTTGGTACGGGTTGACCATCATTAGGTTATGTACGGGTGTTGGTAATGGTTTGGGACCAAAATGGGTTTCTAATATGGGTATGGGTTGCAGGTGGTTGGGTATTGGTAATGGTTGACCATCATTAGGTCATGTACGGGTGTTGGTAATGGTTTGGGACCAAAATAGGTTTCTAATATGGGTATGGGTTGCAGGTGGTCGGGTGTTGGTAATGGTTGACCATCATTAGGTCATGTACGGGTGTTGGTAATGGTTTGGGACCAAAATGGGTTTCTAATATGGATATGGGTTGCAGTTGGTCGGGTGTTGGTACGGGTTGACCATCATTAGGTCATGTACAGGTGTTGGTAATGGTTTGGGACCAAAATGGGTTTATAATATGGATATGGGTTGCAGGTGGGCGGGTGTTGGTACGGGTTGACCATCATTAGGTCATGTACGGGTGTTGGTAATGGTTTGGGACCAAAATGGGTTTCTAATATGGATATGGGTTGCAGGTGGTCGGCTGTTGGTACGGGTTGACCATCATTAGGTCATGCACGAGTGTTGGTAATGGTTTGGGACCAAAATGGGTTTCTAATATGGGTATGGGTTGCAGGTGGTCGGGTGTTGGTAATAGTTGACCATCATTAGGTCATGTACGGGTGTTGGTAATGGTTTGGGACCAAAATGGGTTTCTAATATGGGTTGTAGGTGGTCGGGTGTTGGTAATGGTTGACTATCATTAGGTCATGTACGGGTGTTGGTAATGTTTTGGGACCAAAATGGGTTTCTAATATGGGTATGGGTTGCAGGTGGTCGGGTGTTGGTAATGGTTGACCATCATTAGGTCATGTATGGGTGCTGGTAATGTTTTGGGACCAAAATGGGTTTCTAATATGGATATGGGCTGCAGGTGGTCGGGTGTTGGTACGGGTTGACCATCATTAGGTCATGTACGGGTGTTGGTAATGGTTTGAGACCAAAATGGGTTTATAATATGGATATGGGTTGCAGTTGGTCGTGTGTTGGTACGGGTTGACCATCAGTAGGTCATGTACGGGTGTTGGTAATGGTTTGGGACCAAAATGGGTTTATAATATAGATATGGGTTGCGGGTGGTCGGGTGTTGGTACGGGTTGACCATCATTAGGTCATGTACGGGTGTTGGTAATGGTTTGGGACCAAAATGGGTTTATAATATTGATATAGGTTGCAGGTGGTCGGGTGTTGGTACGGGTTGACCATCATTAGGTCATGTACGGGTGTTGGTAATGTTTTGGGACCAAAATGGGTTTCTAATATGGATATGGGTTGCAGGTGGTCGGGTGTTGGTACGGGTTGACCATCATTAGGTCATGTACGGGTGTTAGTAATGGTTCAGGACCAAAATGGATTTCTAATATGGATATGGGTTGCAGGTGGTCAGGTGTTAGTACGGGTTGACCATCATTGGGTCATGTACGGGTGTTGGTAATGGTTTGGGATCAAAATGGGTTTCTAATATGGGTATGGGTTTCAGGTGGTCGGGTGTTGGTAATGGCTGACCATCATTAGGTCATGCACGGGTGTTGGTAATGTTTTGGGACCAAAATGGGTTTCTAATATGGATATGGGTTGCAGGTGGTCCGGTGTTGGTACGGGTTGACCATCATTAGGTCATGTACGGGTGTTGGTAATGGTTTGGGACCAAAATGGGTTTATAATATGGATATGGGTTACAGGTGGTCGGGTGTTGGTATGGGTTGACCATCATTAGGTCATGTACGGGTGTTGGTAATGTTTTTGGGACCAAAATTGGTAACGTGTCATTAATAAGTCAATCCAATGAGGGATTTTTATTGACATGATTTATTATCAGTGTTAATTATTAAGTTTATGGTTTATGTGATTATAAATATGGGTATTTTTCGACCCAAATAATGGTTGATATTTGGTCGAATATACAGGTATGTAGTGGTAAACATGTGAAAATTATTTGGTTCCTAGTGATTAATAATTCAATCTAAAAGGGGGCTTGTTAATTGACATGATTTATCATCAATGTTTTTCCACAAAGACAAGTATACCTTTTTCATGTTAATATTATTGTCCAAAATACTTGATATTAATGTTGTACAAATATCTTGTAAAGATGTCATAAATTGATGTTACTGATTATAGTTTATGGATTAATGAGCATAAAACTAGATTTACTTATGTTCTCAAAACAATAAATTTGAATTCTAGTATTATATTTGCCAATAATTATTATATTCTGGATTTTTGTCCTCGGTAAGACTAACTTTAAGGAATGAAAGGAGATCATTATATTAGTTCTTAGTTACATAGATATTGACAATGCATGTCGGATAAGAGAAATGTTCTTTGAGGATGTTGAGTTTGGGGGAGAAGAAAGGTTAAAAACATTATCCTTAAGTAGGAATCAATCTTGATTCTTATTGTTACTTTTGATAGTAGGAAGATTATAAATTACGGACTGAAAATGTTATTCAATCTATAATTCAATTGAACAAAGTCAACAACCTCAACTTAGGATATTACATCTTTGGTACCACATGTTTCATAAAATCATTATCTCATATGGTTTTGAGATAAATTCTATAGATGATTTGTTTATACAAGTATAGTGAGAGTAAATATCCTTATGGTTTCATACTTTAATTTTTGAGAACAAAAGTGATCATACATTAAAAAGTTATATGCTCATGTATAGGAAATCAGATCTTTTGCGGATCATTTGTATTTGAAATTTGATTTTATTGGGTGCCAAATGGTTAGTGTTCCACATCAGGCTACATTTACTTGCTTGTATGATGAGCTATTTCATAGAATAGAATTCAGTAGCTTCTTCCAATATGGCAATCTACATGTTATGGGGCATCAATTCTTGGAATATGGATGCATAATTTTATCACAAGGTTGCATATTATTGGTTTTGAAATACTACTAAAGTTGTGACAATAAGTAAGAAATGTTACATTTCAACAACAACAAAAGTTTTATTAAGTCAAAATGTAATGGCGACAAGTTTCCTTATGTTAAAATAAGAGTAAAAATCGAAAAATATATAAAGCACATCTAGACAAACTCCATAATAACAGATCCCGTCACGAAGGAATTAACTCCTAAGGTCTTTCATGAACATATTGCACACATTGATGTGCTATTTTGTTTTAATCGAAATTTTATTGGTGTTTTATGTTTTGTTTACGAGCAATTATGTTTTTTCTGTACATAATTAAGAATTAGGTTAACTTCATTATTAGTTGCACTTATTTGAAGGTTGATCTCACTTCAAGCTAAATAGGAACTCTTAAGAGATCTATTTTGATTTAAAAAACACACATTCATGTTTAATCTATGTTGTTTAATTAGACATCTATATGTGACCACTAATGGGTTTAGTTTCGTAAATTGTAACTCATATTATTTAAGGGTACAAACATCATAATAACATATATTAAAGTGTGTATATAGTTATATATACATTTAGATATTCATGGTCTAGTGAGAGATTGTTAGGTATTTTTGGTAACCATTTTAATTAAATGTATATATTGTTATCATAAATTCAAATTTATTATGGAAACTATTTAATGTTGTTCAAGGACCAATTTTAAATAACAGATAAATATTAATCAGTGTTTATCTTGTGGGTTGAGTTTCCGGTTGACTTAAACTCTTTTAAATCTCTAATATCTCTCATATTCGGTTATATATCAATCTATATAAACACATGATGATAAGCATATATACCATATATATGAAAACACACACAAAAATTCGTTTAGGGTTTGCTATGAGATTTTAGAGCGAATTTTGAAATCAACTGGAAAACTAACTCTACTATTCAGATTCAGAAATCTCAACGAAAGCAGGTATGTAATCTTCTTCTAGTTTAGTTTTATTTAACAGATTTGAGATCAAGATCCAAAGTTGAAGTTTCCATATTTTATGTTTTGGTCAATAAAATTACAAACAATTACTTTTTTTTACCATAGATATGTTTGATTACAAAAGACATCTATGTCTTGTCCAATTCTAAAATGATATTTTCAAATATTAAGTGAACCTTGTCTTTGTGAATTATGTTTGCATGGGTATTTATTTAATAAAGTTTAAACATCTTACCACTTTTGAGTATTCTATAAGATTGTCCAACAAAGATTTGTGTCTATATATATTGGATTTGAAGTTCTATGAAATCTTTACCACTATTATTTTGTTCCTTGTTTAAGATATCTCTTTATTCTAAGTAGTAACCAGATTATTTAGTCGCTCTCTAATGATATTGTAAACGCTTCTAGAATCTTCAATTTTGCACTTTGTTTTGTTCTGACCTAAGAATATAAAGTAATATCCTTGTTAGTGAAAGTTGCTAATTAGCAATAAGGAAATATTAAAATCTCTAATAATTTTGGTCTTCTATCTAAATTGTTGAACTCAGTTTGACTCTTACTTAGAGTTTGTATACTAAGAATGTTCCACATACAAGCATTTGTTCTTTGTTATAAACTCTAATGTTTATGAATAAAAAAACTCTTAGAACACAGAAGACACTCTTAAGAAGTGGCATTTGAATGTGGGAAATCATAATCTTCCATTGGTGTTGGAGATTTGTCAAGTAATATTACTGTTGTTTAAGTCAAACAGACGAAAAAAAAAATCCAATGATTTGGGATTATTATGATTTATAGATAAGGTCAAGCGGTCCAAACAAAGTGCGATGCAAGAAATTTGATGCTTTTTTTAAGATAGAAATACAACTTTGAGTAAACATTCACATTTGCATTGCAAGGCGATGAAATATAGGTCGGGGCATGAAGAAACAACAATGACATTATGACGCAATGGTGGTTTAGGATAGGATGTTGAAGTTCATGATTCAAGAAAGCTTGTCTTTTGACCACTTCGACAACTTGTGATTGATAAAACACATCCAAAAAACTCTTCAACTGTGTTATTGCCATGTAATTAGTCGTTCCACCCTTAGATGCGGTTGTATAGAAATGTGGAAACTTGCAAAAAACGTTGTAAACTTAACTTTTGATCTTTGGACGGCTCCACATGGCAGGTCATCGGATTCGTATATTTGCGTTACCGCTCGTTGGGTATATCTCACTATGTGGCAGATGATGAAGCCAACGATTTTGTTTGATTTGTTTGGATATCTGCATACCGGAGAATAATTATATAAAATTCTAGATTATCAGATCGAAACTTATAAACTAAAAATCATATCTTTTTCTATATCAAGTGATAATGCATCTAATAATGCCATTGCGGTTTGGGGTGATATTTTATTGTATCGGGTTGTTTCAGGTTTGAACCGGTTTGAAGGCAATCCAATTCTGACTCTGTTGACTCGATCCGAACATGTTTTAAAACCGATCCGGTTTGTGGACATGTAGGTTTAATACACATTTACAAATTTTCCAATTATGCAACATATTGTTTTTTATACACAATTTTAAAAAACATTTTATTTTAGGACCAAATTTAAAAACAGAACATTCTGAATATTATTTCATGGTGAACTATGATTACATAATTTGTGTCAATAACGTAAATTAAAGAATTGTAAGACATGATTACATTAATTGATAAAAAAAAATAGGACACAATTAGATAATTAACAAAAATAATAATAATAATAACACGTTATTGCTTAAGTAATGGGCTAATCAGGTTGTCGACAAAATGAATACGATGATTGTATATTTCGTTAAAAAAAAAAATAATAATAATAAATAATTATTACATTAATTGAAAAGAAAAAATAGAAGCCCCTTAGTTAAGCGTGTGCATCTAAAACCTTTAATCTATTAACAATATCATCATAATCAATATAATTGCAGTGATATATTAGTTTTCGATAACTTACAAGGCTAAGAGAACTAGTTTCTCAACTTTTAAAAAGACAGAAACCCCACTCTTCCCCTGCTACAACAAATTAAACCAAAACCAGCCCACCACACTCGGAACTCAGTTTGTGCCATGAATACGAGCATTGAGCCTTCGAAGCCAAACTGAATGTAGTATCATATGGAAAACATCATACCTCTTCGGTGGGTGATTAACCTCAAAATGTCTTTTTACTTGTTTACCCCTTCTCTGCATTCGTAGATACTGCCTCGTCGAAATCCCCATCAAGATTTTCTTGAGGTTAGGAATGTCCTCGACATCAACTATAACAGCAAACGATTTCCAATTCAAAATGTCACTAAATGGTGCAACATAATGGTCTTTAATGAGTACAGGAACACAGCCTGTGTAAAGTGCTTCAACCATTCGCGGACTAGCCACCTCATAGCCACTAGGAGAGATGCAATACCTACTTTGCCTTAGCATGTCCATATATGAAACACTTTTTGGAAGGTATGTGTGGACTTGTATGTCCGGATCCTTGTTCTCCCAATGCTCTAAAAGAATCGTTCTTATTGGGCCGTGGACCCCACCAGCAAAGAATGCCAAGACACGCCGCTGCCTGGGGGATGGCCCACCAACTAGACCGTGCATTGTGCCATCCCGGAGCAAAATTTCAGGGATGGAAACGTCTTTCGATGGCTTGAACCCTTCTGAGGTGTTTGCATTGCATAATGCCCGAATCGAGTTTGTAAATAGATTTGGAACAGCCTTGGAGAGCTCGGGCCCCTGATATAAATAACAAAAGGTTCAATTTTTGAATGCATAATGAACATTGAACCTAGATGGTAAATGCAAGAAATAGCAATGCATATTCATTTATGTGTATTATAGCATTCTACTTTGTTTATTGGGTTAATCTAAAAAAACACCTTATATTTTGTGTTTTTTCGGGATTAAACCTCAAATTTATTTTTTACCTAAAGAAGAAAAAAAAACTTCTATTTTTTCATTTTTTCTGATTTGGTCATTTTAGTCTTTTGTTTTCAAAAAAAATTGTAAAATGTGAGGGTTTTTTTAAGAAAAACTAAAATAGTTGAGGGTTTATTTGGAAGCATTTAGAAGGTTGAGGGTTTTTTCCGAAAAAAATAGAAAGTTGAGGGCTTTTCGGAAAAAATGAAAAACTAAAAGGTCTTTTTCAAGCAAAAAAATAAAATTGAGGTTTAATCCAGAAAAAACACAAAATATAAGGTCTTATTTGAGATTAACCCTTGTTTATTTTTATTAAAGCATTGTAGTTTAAATTTTTTTCTTAATAAGACATTTTACTTTGAAAAATTTTATCAATTATAGAAGTGAAAAATGCTTTGTATCTGGATTAAATTGCTACAACAAGATTTTTCAAAGTAATTGTAATGGAAAGAAATGAAAGTGGGATTCTATAATAATCAAATCCATTAAAGTATATTGATATTTCTAGCATTTTAACTCTATAGAAGAGTAAGATTGTATTACTTACCCAATCATGGCAAGCAACAATGAAGTGATCGGCACCAAGGCTCCTGTTCCAGAAAGGGTGTTTGGATGCAACAAGCTCGACATAATCTTTGACTGTTCGCTTCATTGGACGCCAATGATCTTGAGATTTGCGATCCAATATGAAGCGGACCATCATGGTTGAACTGATCGGAAGGAAAAATATGTGGGCTTTTTCGGGATCCCATGTTCGAAACTTGGATGTTTCCATTTGGAAAATAAAGTTGCCTTCCATTGCATATATACTCTTGCAAGGACCATTATGAAATATTGGTGGTTCTCCTTCTTCATAGACATATACTTTGAGCATTTTTTCCATCTCCAAATAGCTCCTGCGATCAAAAGAAAAATACTATCATGCAAAAAACCAGTTGGTTATGATCGTAGTAACACAACAACCCACAAAATATCATCTCAATACCAATTGGCTTATTAATATCAAGCTATCCTTGTGTTCAACTCAACCTTTATCTAGTTTAATCAAAAAAGTAAATGAAACTAAGTATGAATACATACTTGTGGAAGATGGAGGCGTTCCAATATATTGGACCATATGGTACATACTCGGGATCATTCATTTGGTTCCCATTTCTTGCTTCTTTAATGGCAGCTCGAGCTTGCACAAGGCTTGCTTCAAGTTTATATAATCCAGAATAGTTTCTCTGAACTTCCACAATTGTAGTTGGATCATGGGTTTCATTTGTTGATATGAACATTTCTGTACCATTTAACATTGTAGCAAAGTTGTCCTCTTCCATCGTAACATTCTGTTCAACAATATGTATCAGTTGCATGCTTAAATTTGCTGATAGAACTTCGTATATCCTACACATTTATGCATAATCAATCTAAGTTTGACAAGTAATATGTATACCATTTCGATGAAAGATGTGTTTTCTAATGTTCATTTGAAAATATCAATCACATACTTATACCTACCGACTTGGGTTTGCACTCAAGTAAGTTAGTGCACTATGCACCCTATACTATGTAGCAGACATGTACTAATGTTAAGTTTGCACTCCAACACATAAAAGAATGAACAAGTAACACCAAGAGATATTAGGGTAACAAAATAAGATAGCACGAGCGGACCTAGGAATACATCTAAGTGGAGGCAAACTCAAAATAACAAGAATGTCATACTATCACTTCTTCAATAATTAATCAAGTACAACAAAGAGTTATTTAATAGTTCTTCGGCAACACAACCACCTTTATAATTTTGGGAATAAGAAAGATTTCTCACTTAGGTTCCACGGTTTTAGTGACCCAAAGGTGAAACCAAGGAACCAAAATCATATTTACATATGTTTAGGCTTCCTAGCAATACCAATTGGCTAATTTAATTTTGAGAGAAAAAAAATTACATTTGTGGTTTCCAATGAAACTTTATTATTATGGTAACATTTGTTTTTGAATTTAGTTATTTTACTTTTGCTAAATTTATTGTATGATATTATAGAAAATACTACCAACCTCTACTCATAGTTTTTAATTTTTTTCCTACCCTTTTGTTTTCAAATTTTCAAAATTGACAAGAATTTTAGAAATTGTTATTTTATAAATGCATAGGAACAATTAATTGGTTGGTCGGTTAACCCGTTTTTCGTTTAAGTTTAGGTTCAAAACATCGTCAAACCAATATATCAATCTTGTTAATATTTAAAAACATAGTTTCAGTTAATGAAAAATAAGCATATGGTACCTAAAGCACCTCTTTCTTTATTTATGTACAACAAATATTTTCTTATTACATAGGTATAACAAGTAGTTATAACAGTCATGCGCACATTGCTCTAGAGTGTGGCCCTGGGCGGTCCATCATTTAAAGTACGAGAGAGATTCCCCTAACGTATATTTCTTTATTACATATATTATATTTAAATAATGACTCTAATGACCGTCAAATAGTCATGCCCCCCAACCAACATGAATAAAGGATTGATCGCATGGTTATGGAAGTATTACTAGTTAATAATTTGCTGGTTAGATAAAAATTGCTAACCGTTAAATTTAATGCCTAAAAACTAGTTAGGATTTTTAGTAGCTAGGGATTGTTAAATATCAAAATGCTAATTTAAATTAATGTTTGTTGAAAACAATGTTATTTGTTATATGTTAGCAATTAATATGTAAGCTTGAGTTTGTTGAAATATGACTTTTGGTGTTGATAGTTACCAATTAGTAATTAATGGTTAGATATAGTTTGTTGAATATCAAAATCTAAGGGTATACAAGAATCTTTATTTAAAATTATGTTTATTGAAAATTAATTGGTAAATGATTTAATTACCTATTGTATATAAGGTATGTTTGAAAAAACTAGCTCTACAAAATTATAAATTGTAAATTGTAAATTGTAAATTATAAATTGTAAATTGTAAACTGTAAGTTATAAGATTAAACTTGATAATAGATAGTTGTAGTTTTTATTTGCGTAGAAGCGTTCAGCAAAAGATGTTGTAACCTTTTAAAATGAGTAAAATAACATAAAACATAAAAGCTAAATGTTTCTAAAAGTTCTCAATACATGCTTGAAGTACCTTGTGGATTAGGAGTTTTTTGTTCAAATTATAAATTTTAAGCTCATACTCACAAAAGGAAGTTTTTCTGAAAAGTTTAAAACTCCTAAAAAACACTCAAATATGATAAGGTTTGTATGCAAAATTCTTTTATAAGCAAGAAATAAAATAGGCAGTATCTTATTCTTAATGGTCTTATACATAACCTACTAATGTGACAAATCCACAACCACTACTCAAAATCAACCTTCATTCCTAGGTGAAATAACAAATAACTAATTGAACAAACCCACAACGATTGTCCAAAACCAACCCCCATGCCCAGGAAAAATGAAAAATAGTTTGAAGTTTTATGAATTAACAAAATGTATATTTGACTTATATATATATATATATATATATATATATATATATATATATATATATATATATATATATATATATATATATATATATATAAAATAAGGGATAACAATGCAACTCTTTCTTTCATATGAAAATTTGCCAAACCAAGCTTTTTTACTTACCTACCCTCAAATACATAGGATAAAAGTTTTCTAATAATGATTTAAAACAAAGGTCCCCTAAGCCCCCTTTGGGAACCTCTTTGCATGTGCACATAAACAAGAATCGTTTACTTGTTTCAAAATATACAATGATTTAGATTATGTTATATTTTATATGTGCTGATTTTAATTTTAATGTTTTGGTTGAATATTGATAATGTGGAATTATTTATCTACCCTCTAATACATAGGATAAATGTTTTCTAATAATGATTTTGGTCAGAAATAGTTATTAGACATGTAAACAGATGTTAATATATTGAATTCTGACATGCATATTCCAAAATGATTATTTTAAAATTCAAGATATGAATTTCAATTTTTATTGATTATATCTTGGTTGTAATAACAACGGAATTTGATTAACCCAAACGCATTTATATGAAAGAGGAAGTCAGAAACTTTTAACTTTAAAAATTCTTGAAGGTACAAATAAGTGATAACAACCATTGAAGGAATATACCTAAAATAAAAATGAAGACATTTTCAAAGATAGATTCCCAAACGAAAATCACTTTGGAAGTTACTTAAAATTGTAGAACTGATATGTTAAAAGCTTTTTTGTTTGGCAATGGTACGATGCAAAGCCATGTGTATATGTGTGCAATTAATCTAGTTCTTAATGGGCAAATTTGTAAATTCGCAAGCATATATCCTCACTGAAGGAATTTTGCATTTTTTTGGACAATTAAAGTGAACAAGTGATCAAGAATATATTAAGTGTCATCACCTTAATTTTTTAAGAACTAGTACCCGTCTTTTATATATTGTAATCTCAAAACACATTATTATATCCGCATAACTGAAGGAATTTTGCATTTTTTTGGACAATTAAAGTGAACAAGTGATCAAGAATATATTAAGTGTCATCACCTTAATTTTTTAAGAACTAGTACCCGTCTTTTATATATTGTAATCTCAAAACACATTATTATATCCGCATAGATTTTCAAAATTCGAAATATAAGACCAATACTTAATTAGATCAAATACAATTATATTCAAATTTATATTCCATTGTTAAACACACTAATTCAAACTCAAATATACTCGATGCAAATAGTCTTCAATTACTTTTATATTAATGGGTAAATACTTGAATTTTTGGGTAAAGGACGTAAGAGTTTGATCCTAATTTTAAGATAGTTGTTACTAATTCCGAATTATAAATGTAATTAGTCAACTTTAAATGTCGAAAGATGATCCTAGTCTGAAGGATGGAAAGCTGGTCAATATCTCCCTATTAATCATCTTCTTAAAATGAGAGCAAAAAGTGGTGAAATTTACAAATTAATTATAATATTTTCTTTTTTATTACATGAACCTTATACTAAATTATTAAAACAATTATCAGCCATAAATCATAACTACAAATTACAATAACCAAACCGCGGCAAAATTAGGCACACAAATTAAATAGAATCTGGGCTCCGTTTATGTAAAGATATTGACTGCCGTAGATCAAAGAGCATAATTTCCAAACGAAGAACACTACCAATCAAATCTAAATTTTAAATAAAAATGGAAAATAGAATCAAGAACAAATTAATTGCATGCAGACTGAAAGTAAAGACAATCATTCCCAAAACAAGAATAATCAAATAGAAGAGGTGAGAGAAAGTACATACAGGTTGTTGCATGTCCATGTCTTCTTCAAGAGTAATTGTTGGTGAAGAAGAAGAAGAAGGAGATGGAGCCTCATCCATCTGGCCACCACCGCCATCCGCCGTCCACCGCCATTCCAACCCACCAAGATTTTCCGATGAAATAGGTCCCGCTGCTGCAGAATCATCTTCAGTTACAGAAGAACCCCCACTGTAATAATTAACAAACCTAATATCCCAGTTTGATTTCTTCAAAGCCATAAACCCGAAAATTAACATCAGAGGCATTATAATCAACCATAAGATCTTCCCAGACGATGAATTCCGCCATGAACCCATCTCGTCTCTCTCTTCTCTAGAGAATCCAATTTTTGGCTTTGAATATCATGAAAAAATTCATTTGAAATCTGTAAGAAGACGAAGATGTCTGAGTGTGTGTGTTTTACTGGGTGTTTTTGTGTGTGTGGAATAAGACTGTTCTAAAGTTTTGCATGTATACGTGTAGGAATTTGTCAGCTAACATTGGTAACTGGTCTTTGGTTATTTACATTCGTACCCTTGGGCCTTTACGAATGTGATACCTTCCCAAAAAAAAATGCTCCATGTTTCAAAAACACAATAATTAGCGTTTGATATAACAAACATTCTATAACAGATTTTCATTAATTATTAATATCAAAAGGCTTTTAATACAATCAAACATAAGCCATTTTTTACTATTTCATAATGTTAGAATAAAATATTTTTTAGTTTTCTAAAATACAATAAAACATTAATATACTAATTAAATCACAAAAACCTTATGATAAGTATCTAACCGAGGGTACTATTCATGACGTTTACTTACTCGACCATGGTCACCGCCATCCCACCGCTCTCTCATCACTTTCATCTCGATCCTTTCTCAACCCTACATCGTGGTCACAAAAACCTTATTTCACTATCCCAGAAACTCACCGCTTTCATCTTGGTCCTTTCTCAACCCTCTGTGAGTGTTTCCTCTTCTACCACCTCTTTGCTCCGCTTAAGAAATCTCCATTAACATCCCTCTCGTTTTCCCTTCACCTGCTCCGACGTCTCTTCTTCTTCTGAGAATCGTCGACCCCAATCTCACTTACTGGATGTACCACGTTCGAATCGGTGATGTTTGTTGTTTCTCTGGGTTTAGGACTTCCGACTTGCATCAGAACTAGTATGTATTGTATGCTTTGTGATTGATTTTTAAGTGGTCTGTATGGGCTTAGGAATTCTGACTCGCGTCTGAACCGATGAGGTCGAAATTCATCTTTCCAGGTGAGTTCAAGATGATAGTTGTGAATTGCAAAAAGTTTTTGAACCCTAAGCCTCTGCGGATGATGTACTTGTGATTCTCGACTCAGAGAAAGTGGATAAAAATGGATGATGTTGTTCGGTAGGTGGAAATTGGTGTGTGTGTGTGTGTAAGAAAGGTGGACAAGATAAGGTGCTTCAGCAATCGATAGACTGCGTATGTGGAAATGGAGCAGAATGCACCCAAACTCATAATGGTGGCAAATGTTTCAATCCGGACACGGTGATGGACCATTGTAACTATGCGGTTAACAACTATTTCCAAAACAAAGGTCTGGCCCTGGTTCATGTAATTTTTCCGGTTCGGCTATGGTGGTCACTGTCGATCTAAGTTATTCTCTCTCTCCTCTTATCACCACATCCAAACATACATGTTCCAATCTATCCGTTTTTGTGATTTAGGAACTTTTGTTTTTTTATTTCTATTATTAGATTACAACAACAAATAATAATGATAATAATAATAATAATAATAATAATAATAATAATAATAATAATAATAATAATAATAAACAAATCTATTCTGGCTTTTCTGAATAACTTTGTCTTTAGGACACCATATCCAAGCTAGATCTACAACCTTAAGTCCATTAAGTCCTTAATATGACCTTGCTCATGGACTCAAAAGAGCTCCACACATGACTCTAGCTTTCCTCATTCTCAAAAACCTAAGGACCATTTGAGAGTTACAACAAGTTCTGGAGTTCCTTAAACTCCAAAAGCATTCATGGAAGGGACCAACACCTCAAAATGAGCCCAAACTTGAAACAAGAAGAACAATGATCAAGATGAGAACTTTCTACCTCTAACAACTCCAAAATCTAAATGGAATGGGAGATCCAAGCTAACTAATTTCTTCCTTGCACCATAATGTACTTCCTCCTTCTTCAGGTCTCACCAAAAGCCAAGAACAAGGCCTTCATTTACTCAAGCAAGCTCACAAACATGAAATGGGGCTAGGGTTTCATTAAGACAGGTGGGGGTTGAGAAGAATACCCTAGGTCATGAGTTAATGGATTTAAATATGGGAAAAGCCCTAAAATATCATGGACTTGGGTTGCAACCATTGTCACATCGTGACAACTAATCCGAACACGCGACCTTATTTTCCATGCCACGTCGTGACAACCTTCATGTCATATCATATACAAAAAATACAATCCATTGCACAAAATTTAATGTCATACAAGTAATCGTTCCAATATTAGGAAAATGTAATACATCAAATGTGAGAGATGAAATTCATCAACAAATAATAGTTGAACTACAAGAACTTGTTGACCACCTTCAACAGCATCCTCGCTACTTTGATTTACACTATACACATCAATAAGACCTGCAAATTTGGATCATGCAACCATTAGATTCACATAAACCAGCAAATCCCAATAAATTAGATTGGACACTTCCTTTAAAATATCAATTAGAAGGAAAATGACACTTGTTTGAGACTTCCTTTTATCAAAACCAGATAGAGTAAATTCAAGATTCTTGCCCCAGAATTATCAACAAGTTTATCATGAACTTAAATCTATCCAATGAGATAAGCATAATACAACATTTTCAAAATTTATATATAATAATGTAATGCAAGATAGCTTAGCTTTATAAATAAAAATGGTTTTACATATCTCTATATATACCCTACTACTACTATTACTACCATTCCCTACTATGTAGAGAATAGGTTTTGGAAAAAATAAACTAATTGTAAGTGGGAAGACTTGTAATTAGCTTATAAGTAAGGATATATAGGTAAGGGAGGGAGGAAAGAAAGATATTCTTAGGATATGTATACAGGGGCATAAAACAAAAAATAAAATATTAGACATACAAGTTGTGATTTCAGCAGGGGCAAAATGGTATTTCTTCCAAAAAGATGTATACAGGGGTTGTTTGGTAAAAAAATATTGCATACACATGATAGAAATGGACTTTGCATTCTAGGAAAATAATGACAATTACAAGGGCATAAAACAGAAAATAAATTATGTATTCTAGGTGCAGTTTTTAGTCCACGTGATGAGCCTAAAGCAGGGGCAGATTCGTTTGTATATAATTTGCTATTTAACCTTGAAAAAAAGGTAAAATGGTCATTAATAATGCAAGAATGGAACTGGACTATTCTTTAGAAATGGGAGTTAAACTTGTGTAAGAGAGAATGTCCCAATGTAATTGATCCCCATCATCCTGGCAAAAGAAACAAAACAAAATAGGGGTAAAATGGTCATTTCGTAAGGTTTAACGTCCGATTTCAACTATTTACCACACAGACCATTTTGTAATTTACTCTTAAAAGTTAAAACAATGACTTTTCATCATGCAGAGACAAGAATAGATGGCCTTCTATAGTGAGTTTGCTTGTTATTGCAAGTATCCAAGTCCAAAATCCACTACTCAAGGTTTTCTTTGAACCTCATTATTGATGAGAAGGATGATATTTGAGCTGATGTCAGACATAACATGTCATAGAGTTGAATAAGAACTTAAGTTGACTATAAGATTATTTGAGTTGAGGAAGAAGATGATACATCATATAAGCTTCTGAATGTAATATACCTTTTCTAAATATGATAGGATTTTCCAGTTGCGTGCATGTGATGAAACTTCAGTAGTAATACATCTCTGATATATGAAACATGATAAAAAAAAGAGTAAGATTAGGAGTAAGACTAGAGTTATTGAATAATTTCTACAATGTAACATTTCACTAAAGAGTTTGCAACTTGACATATAATTTGATAGTTAGTTTTGATGTGTTTTTAAGAACATACAATTTGATGTTCTTAAAATAATCAAATCTATCACAAAAATCCTGAAATGAAACCGTATCCAAAATACAATAAACATACCTAAAATGAAATGAATGTTTATGACATAAACATAAAATTTGTGTGAAAATTTTGGCAAAACTAAAAACTCGCCTTACATGTATGACTATTTTTAATACCTGCGCTCAGGAGTTCGCTTGATGTTCTGGACGACAATTGCAATACATGTTCTCTAAAGAAGTTGTAACAGTTCTGTCACAACTAGCAAATTTAGGGTTGAGATTGTGATGCTTGTACAAAAAACCCCTCTATGTAACCACATTTCATTAATATATTTGATTCAAAACAATAATGTTATATGAATACATATGTGCATATACTAAGAATCAAGTAGTAATAATCTCATGTAAGACCAAACTTGATCCAATAGTTAAACAAAAACAAATGTTGGGCTTGTGCTTAGAACACTCGCCCCAAATTAACTATAGGCCGAAAACCCATTTCCTTTGGGCCCTATTGGACCGAAAACCCTCTTATTGGGCCAAATTAAGCCTGAAAGCCCATACCCATCTTAGAACCGTAAACCTTGAGAATGTATAGGGTGTTTTTGGCCACCCTAAAAACGAAAACCCCCTTGCATGGCCACCATGGCTGAAAACCTTAAGAGTTTTCGGTTGGGAGTCAAGACAAAACAAAAAAAAAATAGAAATTACAATTTGTGGTGACACCTCACCACTTTACCTCCTCTTAACCATGGAACAACCAAGCAAGGTACACAACTACCCATCATACCTCCATGAATATCACCTAATGGACCACCATGCAACAATGCCACTTTTCCCTCTTCTTTCCTTAAAAATCAGCCGAACCCTCCCACACACACACCAAGAATCATTTCCACT